AAGTGGGTACAAACTCTATACCAAAGTTAATATACCCTTGTTTCGAGTACTATGGCCATGTATTTCCGTATCTCTGCAGAAAACGAAATTGTGTTTTATTCTATTATTTACTATCTTAAGAGCTAATATGTAAAAAAAAAGCTCATAACCAACAAAAATTATTCTCATGTTAAATTATTTTCACATAAAATTTAAAGTATCAAATTTCTTTATAAAAAGTAATCCACTTAAAATAATTACTGCTGGCTAAACGATTTAAAAAGAAAAAACTTTTAATCAATATGAATTATTATTAAGTCTGTCTTAGAATAGTTAAGTTAAGTCCTGCTGTTATTCCGAAGAATAAAGTAAGGGAACAATAATAAATTTCAAAATTTAAATTTGTTTGTTGTGTTTTATTTTTTTTATTACGAAAAAGTAAAATAAATGTAATTCAAATATAGTTGCACGGAAACTTTTAAGGAAACCTGGTAAAAACTGTTAATATATTTAAACAAATCAAGCCCCAAAATAGAACTTTGTGGAAACTCTTTCTGACCTCAAGCCAATCCCCCACAGTGTCCTCAATTCTAACAAGCTGCTTCCTATTGGTTAATATATGATCTAAAAAATTATATTAGACCCTGTGAAAAATTAAAACTAACCAACTTTCCCAAAAGAGTCTGAAAATCTACACTATCAAACGTCTTTTTCAAATTAATGAAAAGGTAACATGTGTACCACCATCCGTGCTTTTGGCAATATGATCAGTAAGTGCCAAACATGCCTCATTAAGTATTAAACTGCCGCTCAAATCCGTAATGGTACTTTTAAGCGGACCAGGTCGAAAAATGATAGTTTAAGTCCTGGTATGCCTCCGTATTAAACAGCCTGTCGCATTAGTCGGAGAATTCAGCAACCCATATTGATCTAAGCCTACGCGAAAATCATCATCCGACAGCCCCTTGTAATGTAGTACAGTCATATTTTTTGTAACATATTCCGAAAGAGTGTATTCCGAATAATGTATCAAGTACGTGAAATATTTTTATTTACTTATATCGAATATGAATTCATCTACAATAGTGTTGAAACGCACCCTAGTCACAAATTCGTTAGATATAAATTAAATAACCTTTATAATAAATGAAATAGCCATTATTTGCGGGAATACTGTGATAATTCCTAATATGATTATATATAAAAGACTCATAATAAAATCACCTAGTACTCGTATATTTGAATGCCTAAACCTGAGCGTACCATTATCTTTGATGCTTACTAATGAAATCATCTATACTAATTTGGTGAGATCTATAAGCATCAATACTATTTAAATTATGTTTTATTGCCCGAACCAGCAAAACATTTGAAAAACTATATTCTTCTTCAAATGCAAAATTACTACTAATACATTCCTTTACAAAAATTGCAACACCCCCGTAATATGTTGTCCTATTAGAAAAATAAAATATATATGCTGAAAAATTATAGTCTTTATTTTCATTTTTACTTAATCATATTTCTGTTAGAATAATAAAATAAGCACACAGTCATATGAATTGCTAAGAGCTTATCCTCATATAGTTTATCACGTAAGCTTTGAATGTTTAGGTACGTCACACTATATTTCAATTCTGTCAGTAATTCGTTGCAAATTTTTATTCGACTCCGTAGAATAATCCGTTCATTTAATTTTTATCTACCGGGATAAACCCTTACAGATATTAACTTAAACCTAAGCATTATGCAAAATAAAAATTCAGCAAAATGGTAAAGAAAAAAAATAAAAGATAACAGAATAGTACCTACATACATAAATAAGATATTGTATTACACAAATACACGCAAGTACATATGTGTGCATGTGCAAAACTTTCCTATTTACATTTTAAAATGAAACACTTAATAATTTATTTGTAATACTAAAATAATTTCAACGATTAATTTTAATGCTATGAGAATTTAAAAAAGGTTATTAAAAAGAAAAAATTATATTAAAAATTGGAAATAATTGCAATTTTTCAAAAATATGATGAGTTTCCTTTCAATATAATCCCTTGTATGATTACAGTCAACTTCAGAGAAGCACATATTAAATAATTTTTGAGACCTTACTAGTGATTCGGAAAACCTTAATTTATTCTGTGTGCATCAAGATATAGATATCTTCTAGTACGAATATTTCGCACCGAGGCATATATGTTAAAATTTAAATGATTTCAGGACAATTTATTTTAACCGCAAAACTCCTTCTACTTTCAATGTTGAGATATCGATAAGTTGACATTTAGATGCATAATTGGTAACGTTGATTTGCCAATCAAAATTACGGAGACAAAATCTAATCATATTTTTTTAAACGAATTCGACTCTGTCAATGTGGTTTTTATAGTAAGGTATCAAAATAGTTGTCCTATTCGTATTCAAAATGCGATCTAACTAATGATGTGTATAGCAATATATGAGTCATGGACACTTAGTCTGTGTTTGGTCGATAAGTTGATAGAAAAATTTCCAGAAATATTAGCTTTTTTCCAAAAATATTGTTCAAATACAACGATTATTGCACACAATTTAATCATAATTTCCATAGCAATAGTTGAAAATCAACATTTTATTCAAGAAATATTGAAAATATAACATCATTCAATATTCCAAAGCTCGACCATTTTCTAAAATAAAGCCATTTTCACACAAAAAAATTATTAAAATTTGTTTTGCTTGATCATTTTTCCATTCTCTCACCTTTTGTTCTTTCTTCTCATTAAAATTAGAAAACATAATTGTTGTTGCAATTGGTTCTAATTTATTTTTCATAAGCGGAGCTGAAGTAGATCGTACTAAAATTATTTTAATTATATTGATAAAATAAACTTAAAAGGAACATAGGTTAGGTTACGTTAAGTTGTACGGCCCCCCGAACTGTACACTTAGACCACCTAGACCCGTTATGGTGTCACTGGATCTCTCTTCTTCCTTCATAATCAGCCGAAGTTCCTCAGAAACCGGCCAAGGTCCCTAGCATTTACACTCCGTAGTTCGAAAAAAGTAGGATACAAGAAATATCTGCCTGGAGTTCGCCAACACCCGTCACGAGCATAGCAGGGAGGTATGACCGCCAATCAGACAGTGTCCAGTTAAAACCCCTATCACCCGGTTAATGTCCTCCCGCCGGAAAGATATCAGATCCCTTGTGCGACGCAAGACCAACTTTTGCCACAACTTCCTTCTCGCGTTACATGTTGTTCCATTCACCCATCTGAGTTTTTTACGTTCCAGCGCTGCATTGCGTAGCAGCAGCCTGTGGGTGCTTAGAGGGTTGTTCCATGTAACGCAAGTTCATCCGCCTTGCAGTTTCTCGCAGCCCCAAAGTTGAATGAAAGCACGGGAGGAGCCAAATCAACCACAAAAAAACCACCCTTGCAACATTACTTGATGTTGGAATGAAAGTTAGATCTCTATGAAATTCGTAGATGATTTTTAGCCAGGGCAGGATGACTTCGGCCGAATTTTGCAATTCCACCGACACTATACCGGCCGAACCCGCCGACTTGAAAAGCAGCTGAAATATAAATATAACTATAAATATTGCAAAGAGCTATCCATATACATATTCCTTTTTATGCTTCAATATATGTCACATTAATAATATAAAGTAATATCAATGTGAGAATTTATATAAAGTAATATTAAAATATGAAATAAAGTGTAAATTTTTGAGATATTACGACATTATAATAACCTATTAGATAATAACGATATTATTGTACCCTATTCAGAAATATTTTTTATTATTTTCATTAACTGTTCAAAAGTACAACCAATTTGAAAACATATTTCTACTTTGAATGATATTCAAAATAAAAATAAAGTTCTAGGAAACATATTTATTTCAAAATTAGCTACATTGTTGTTTTGATTTCGGATATAGTTCTTAGTTTTTATTTTAATTTTGAATAAATATTCTAAAAATACTAAAATGGTTACAAAATATATGCAAAATTATTGTATCCCATGCACAATTTTTTTTATTCTATTTATTGTTTTCATAAACGGTTCTACTAACAGAACTAATATATTTCTAAAGCTGTTTTAGATTATATTCAAAATAAAAATAAAGGAGTAGGTAATATATTTATGTGAAAATTAGCTATAAAGTGTGATTTCGCATTTAGTTTGTATCTGTTTTGTTTAAAGAAATATCTAATTTAGACAAAAGTTTTTCTGAGTTCCCAAAAAACCATGCTACATTTAGGGACTCTTCGGCTCTTTCAGCTTGTTTTATAGGATCGAGAAGTACGTTTTTCGGAAGAAGCCAGTAGGAGTTGTGGTTTGCAAGATATTAGAACTTGTTTAATTAGTGTAAGTTTTCTATTTAAAACTTTAAATTTATATAATTGTGATTTAATATGTGTAAATAGTCTATACGAATTTTAAAATTTGTTTTGGTTTTTCTTTATTTTTGTTCTTCAGTTTTGTCATGGTATACCCAATCATTTAAAATTATTTTCTTTTTTATGCATACGGATTTCATTTTACATTTTTTGGAAATTTGCAGAAAAAACAATCCCTTTACTGATAAGCAGCTGTAAATTCATTGTAGTTTTGCTTACGTTACGTTACGCTATGTTAGGTAACTAGTAAAAACAAAAAGTTTCTGAACCGAAAAAATTCCAGTGATAATGTTAAATAAACAACGATGAAACTAACGATTCCTCCTCAAGTTTTTATTGCTATTACATCATAAAATACAAATGTATTTATGTATCAAAATTTCAATTTCAAAGACAGGACGCTTAACCATCTATGTTATGAAAAGCTTTAGTTTATTTTTTGTTTTAATATATTATCAAAAAAAATAGCTTTTGCATAAAAACATATAACAGTAAAGAATATTTTTGGTGCATGCGCTTATCTTATTCATTTTGTGGTTCTATATTGAATAATTTATTTGGAAAACTTGAAAAAAAAGGATTTTTTATTTTATTAAAAAAGAGTTTAAAAAGTTTAACACAAAAATGTCAACTTTCCCGTTGTTAATGAGTCTTGCAGATGAACTAGACAATTTAACAACCCGCTCATATTTAGATGATTTTGGTTTAGGATTTTATCCACATCGTCATTACCATCGTGTTCCATCTTTATCATTGCCAAGCGAAGAGGAATGGGCAGAACAACAACAGTACCAACAAAGGCGTAATTCTCGTTCGAGGAAATTTTCTGAGCCAATCAAAGAAAATAAAAAACTTCAGCAACAATATGAGTTACAATCAGCCACAACTTTAGAAACTTGTAGTAAAACTTTTAACTTTAATGATGCTATGCAAAGCGATAGCATTGATTCAATTAAAGCACAAAACTCAAAAAAAAATTCTGGAATATCAACTTTAAGTAATATTGATGAATTAAATATGTTAAAATCCGAACAACAATGCAAAAACCAAGATAGTGATGTTGAGAAAGAAGATTATGATGGCTATATATCTAAACATGCATCTTCCTATGCAATTGACAGCAAATACGAATTTCCTAAGACACAATCTGAATCAAACAGATCGGTTAAAAATTTTAAAGTAAAAAAATTAAATTTACATTCTTCACTCTCATTTCATTTAAATAAAAAAAGAGAAAAACAACAATTAAAAAAAAGACATCAACAGCAATCTTCCTTAGAACAACTTGATAATGAAGAAGAAAATAGCTTAAATGCTTCACCCGAAGATGCTCCAAAAGATCCCAACAAATAGAAAAGAGAAAATTTTTTTTTATGAAAATTAAGGAAATTCTACAAAAAAAAACAATAACGCATTAAATAAAATAGAAATGTAAAAATTATTACTTGCAATGGAAAAAAATACAACATGAAAAAATTGGTTATTGTTTAAAAGAATTAGGTTTCTTGATTACATAAAAAAAATTTTTCGTACTTGCAAATATTTATAAATCAAATCATTAAAAAAGGAAATAATTAAAACATATAAAAACAAATATTAAATTTTCGAAAACACACAAACTTTCTAGTTCATATGTTTTTTCAACAAATGGTTAATATAGTAACGAGTAGTGCTTGTTAATAGAACAATATAAAAAGCACAAAACATGGTCGATAAATTAATTACAATTCAATGTTTTAAAACTAAGAAAAAAGTTTTGAGTATCTACTTGCTACTACTTTCATACATATATTAAATTTTTACTCAACAATATATTATAATAATATATATACTTATATATAGCATATACATAATTTCAAATACGTTAACTTAAAAAGTTTTAGTACTTCTGCCTAAAATTTTACTATTTTTAATACATTAAGTAATATTTTTTAATATAATTTGTAAAACGCACAATAAGCTTTAAGTAATTTAAATACAAAGCACAGTTTGATCTTTTACATTAATCAATCTTTTAATTACAAAATTGAATTGTAAAAAAGTCTAAACATCAAAAATATTTTCGTTTTTAACTGAATATAATTAACTAAAACAATACAAGTTTTTAATTTGGTTTATTCATGAGATTTTGAATGCTTTGAAAAATTATTATCAGTGACATAGATTCATAAAATTTCCAGCGTAGCTTTGAATTTAGATAGTACTAGCAAAGTTAAATACGTATATGTACTTAAATAATAAGTTTTCAAAAATTTTGTTTAAAAAAGTAGATTTGAAAGACAAATGTAAGTATATGTGTACAACTACTTACATACTTTAAAAATTTTGGAAAGTTATTTTAGTTATAAAAGCATTTCCTTTTTAAAGTTTATTAACTATTAATGTTAATAGCAATTAATAGTTAATTAACATAATTTTAATGTTGTGAACTCAAAATTGCTTTTCATAATCAATTAGCGTTGTATATTCTTAGCTTCAATTTCAAATTTTTATAATCACCCATATTCTGGTAGTCGTATTGCATGCAAATATTACATGAAGTAATACTATCACAATTATGTATTGTTCTAGTATTCGTAGACATGATAATTAAAAGTGGTACCAAACTTCACGTGATAGCAGGTGTAAAAATCATCACGTTTGCTTTTTCTGTAAAACTTTTCATACGACGTGATAGTCATTCTTGTATCACCTCAATACTTGAACTCGATGGACCATCGCGTCAGGGTTTTCCTTAATAAAATGGAAATGGATTAATATTTGTTATTCTATATTATATTTTACAAGATTTTTCCAGTTCATGAACAGGTATACATATAATCTAATAAATAACAAAAACAAAAAAATGAAAATAGCAAAAGAGAATACTCAATTGATTATACATACTGTAAAACAAAAACAAAAAATTAAAAGCGAAAAGCGAAAAGCGAAAGAGAATAAAAAAAGAGTAGTAATATTTTTTTTGTTTTTTTGCTTTACTACCATAAACAAAAATAAAAAGCAAAAGGAAGCGAAATATTTTAAATGAGTTAAGTAAGAGTAAAATAATTTTTTGTTGTTGTATTTAACATGGAATGGAATTAAAAAAAATAAAACTAAAAATTGTGAGAGATATAAGAACACGAATAACGTTACGTTACGTACTAAGGCAATTATTCTTCGTGTGCTTGCGAAATTTCAATTGAGTAAGTAGCCAAGCCAGGTCTGTATAAAGAAAAGAGGCATTGATTTTTTATTAATTCACATTCACTTTGGTTTTAAAGTTTAACGTGAAAGGTACTATTTTCAATTGCGAATTCTTTTCTTTTTAAAAAATGGATAACAAACAAATGATGGAAATATTTTAACAGATAACGTTGTTTATAAGGAAATTTTTCGTTCTTAATAGTTAACTAATTCTTAAATTGAATTTTAATCATATCTATGTAATTAACAGTGACACATATTACATCTTAAAATTTATTAAATTAAAAATATTTCCATTATTTGCTGCTTATAAGCAAACCACAGGGGCCCCTAGTATATTATGTTTTCTAATAAATAAAATAGAAAAAAACGGCGAAGTTAGTAGTTACAAAAATTATTTAATTTTTTTACCGTAAAAATTTTACTTTACTAGTTTTATATTGATAATAATTGTTGTCTTTGTATTTTATAGAACAAAAAGAATTACAGATACGAGTATGAGCAAATTCAGCTTCGTAATAAAATTAATGGTAGACAATGCTAATGATGATGACGATGCTGATATAGACGAAAGTTTTTCGGCACACTCAAGATTAGCAAGATTCACAAGTCACTAGTATTAGCAACTAGCAAAATATTTTCAAGTTTCTTAAGTAAACATTTTAAACTTTTTTTCGAAATTTTAAAGTATTTTGATAATCTATATATGTACATAACTACGTACGTCATTAATACGGGAAATTTATTTTATTTATGAAAGCATTTTCTTTTTAAAATTTATTAACTATTAACGTTAATATCTAAATAAAAATATTTTTGTTTTTAACTACGTTAATTGTTTTCATTATATCACTGAAATGAAAATTGATGCACTTTCTTCTTTTAATTTTTACGAGTTCATTATGTTTTTGGCGATCGATCAAAGTCAAGAAAACTTGCTCATTTATACTTCAAATGAATATACATACTATAAAAATGATTGGCCATCTAATTTTTAATTATAAAATACTGAATACCTCGTACCTACATAAATATATCTTATTTTAAGAAATGTTAAAAGATTTACAGCAATTAGAAATTAAAAAACAGGAAATTACAGTTTTGTATATATATGATGGTAAGGAACACAATAAAATATTTTCACTTGGCTCGTTACCAATTATTTTCAGAAAACTTAGGAGCTATGAAATGGGTAGGAAATGTAAGTATAAACTTTGACTGAGAGTGTATCGTCGCGAAGAAAAATATTAAGCAGGTGAAACACTCTGTATGTAATTATTGGTCTCTAAAGTTATGCTACATTTATTTGTATTATGGTATGCATGCATGTACATACATACGTTCGTCACTTAACAACTACATTTTAATTTAATATGAAGTGCAGTTATTCGAGAATTGATTCTCAATAATCTGTATTGTATAACAAGAAATTCTTCTTGTATTTCCAAGAGAATTTCGTCATTATTAGTTTTTGAACAGACAAGGTAGCAAGGTTGTAATTTAAAAGTAATTTTTGTAATTTGGGTTGTAATTTTCTCAAATAAATAAATCATATAAATGTAATAAATAATAATTGTTATAATAATAAACGAAAAATAATTAAATATAATAAAAGTGATAATGATATAATAAAAGAATTAAAATAAAACAAAAAGGAAGTAAAATAAAAAATCAAATAAAGTGTTTCAATAAAATAAAATAATAGGTGCCGACGACGACTACATTAGTGATCACGACTTTAAAATTCGTATAGCAAAATTTAAAATCATTTAGTACGTAAATTACTTAAGAATTTACGTAAATTTAAAAAAGTTAAAAACAAAAAATGATCTCTTAAATAAAATATAAATTTGGATTAAAAATTACACGTGCCTTTTTAAATACATCACGCTAATGTGCATTCATGTACACATATGATACATTAAGTGCATATACATGTATATGGAACATTTTTAATAAGCTTAAAAATAAAAAAAAAATCTTAAGTTAAAATTCAAGCACAAATAAAAAAAAAAGAATAACAAATATAAAAAATTAAAAACAAAAAATAATAAAACTAAAAATTAATTTTTATTTACAATAAACGACATAAAAATATAATTAACCTAAAACAACACAAATAATTATATACACGTGTACATGATTACAAATTAAAATGCTTAAATCTAGTCTAATATTAAATATACCCTAGTACCTATCATGCATAATTTACAAAATTATTTTTGACTCCTCATATGTTCATAAAAAAATAAATATTTTTCGAATATATAATACAAAATATATCTTGCACATAACATATTATATGGTAATTGTACCATCGCTCATATGTGGTATAAAAAATAACTACGAGTATACTCGTACATATGTATGTTGTATAAAAAAAAATAAATACAAAAAAAACATCAAGTTAAATAAGGAGGTTTATATAAGCTACAACTCATCATAAAAATCATCTCATAATAAAAGATCGTCATCATCACTACCAACAGAAAGGTGTTCGCCGCCGGCATTGTCCAACACGCAAAAAAAAATTAAGAACAGGAAAGTAAAAGAAAGACTTCACAGTACGTTATATTTGCTAAAATACAGATTCTTTTTGTTTAAAAAAAAAATTTGCAAAAAAAAAAAGTAAATAAAGAAAGAATTGAGTTTTTTTTTTCTCTAAAATTGAACAAATAAATAATAAGTATTCTTTGTTTTTTCTCTAAAAATTAAGTAAACAATTAATAACTATTTAATATAAATAGCAATTTTAACAAAGAAAATAATTTATATTATCAATTTTAAAAAAGAATATTTTCTTTTAGTAAATTTTGAATATTAGTTTTTTAAAAAAAAAAATAAGTTTTTAATAGGTTGTAAAATAAATTTTAACTTAAATTTTAATAAAACAGAGAGATAAATTATAAACATTATTTTTTTTTCTCTCCTTTTTCTATTATATTATTTTTTTTTTTTTTTTTTTCCTTATTCACTCCTAGAAGGAGCATAGGGCTAGTGCATGATTTCTCATGCACTAGTTTCATAGCGTCATAGAGTTTAACTAGGTAGGTGACTAACCTGCCGTAGTTTTATTTATATTAATTATTTGAGGTTATTAATATTTACTGTTTATTTTTCTTAGTTTTTTTTAATATGGAATATTACGAATATTTGAAAATTACTTG